CTTTTACCAACGAATAGTGGGATTGACCGTCACTTTATAACGCATACACGGCTGAAAGGATGAGCATGTTTGGCGTGACGCTACCCGAAGGTTATCTGCACTAGCCGTCTCTAATTTTGAAGTGATAGAATAGAGGGAGGGCAGCTAGTTAACACCACCCACAGCCAATTCTTGGGCTGCTCTTTATCAAATTTAGTGGGATTGATCATTACATTATAATGCGCTCGTGGCTGAAAGGGTGAGCATGTTCTTTTAACACTCGATACGTTTAGTGAAATTAATACGAACTTAGCCGTGTTTATTGACACTGATGATCTTGGAAGTCAAGAAGAATTCGCCTTCCAGTGACTTAGCGATAAGTACGAGGGATTATAACGCTAAAAGTCGAGTTTCGATAACCGCAGTGGATATTCCACTGTGAAGCCTTGCGCTTAACAACAGACAAACAAATGGGCCAATGTCTTAAGATTGTAACAAACATCTTGTCTTATACGATAAGGGTTAAAATGATACATTTCAAAAAATAATTGTTCAACTAATGCGTAGATGTTACTGAAAGTGTTACCATATTTAGCAACAGAAAAAAAAACAACCAAAACTATGCGTACGAAGAAATTACTACCTACCTCTAATTCGAGTTCGGTTGCCAAGGAAACGAATTCACTAGAGGTGTTGTCCTTCAAAGCGTCAACAAAATCTAAATCTAAAATTGTGAACTCTCCCCTAACTGCGTTTGGCACTGAAAAAACGGAATGTTTATGTGGTAAACAATAACTGAAAAAACGGAATGTTTATGTGGTAAACAATACATGAAAAAACGGAATGTTTATGTGGTAAACAATAACTGAAAAAAACGGAATGTTTATGTGGTAAACAATAACTGAAAAGACGGAATGTTTATGTGGTAAATAATAACTGAAAAAACGGAATGTTTATGTGGTAAACAATAACTAAAAAAACGGAATGTTTATGTGGTAAACAATAATAAATACTGAGAAAACAATATTATTGATAGTTAAAAATATTTTGTTTAAATCAATGAAAAATAAGTACTTTTTATAATATATATATTGTCGTCGATATTTGAGCCAGTTTCTTTCCATGTCCGTTATTTGAGTTTTCGGTTTACAAATAATCACGGACTAAATGTTGTGGAGTGTCTTACCAATTCTTACAGGAATAGTTGAATGATTCAGAAACACAGTAATTGTTGGTGGCACACTTTCGTTTGTTTGACGAACACCGGTAGATGGCGTAACAAACGTTCTGGCTTCTTGGGTAGTCGTTGTTGTTGTAGAGCTCAAGGTTTTATTTGACTGAGGAGAGTTTAGGAGGGATGGCGGAATCGAACCTGAATGTGGGGAGTTTTGAGGAGGTGGTGGAAAAGAGTATTCGTCAGAAGCATCAGAGGATCCGGAAGCTCTACTTGGTAGGGGACCATCCTCCGGCTGTTCTGTCCCTTGTGAATATTCTGATTCTGACATCAAAATACCAGCTAAGAACAAATTGAAGCAGATTTATATAGTGACTGAGTTGGAATGACATTTCGAATAATAAAACATATAAACGTGCCCAGGTTATAAGCTTGACTTTTAAATAAAATTCTAAATTTACAAAATCAAAATCTCACGAATGTCTCTAGATACAGACTATTTAAGAACCTTAAAACAAATATTTCTTTTATAAACATAAACACTCCAATTAATCTTAAATTATATATATCACTTTTATCAATACAATCGTCCTATTAAGCCTAAACTAGATATTGCTCCTTGAAATATAATCATCCTAATAGCCCTAAACTAATATTACTCCAAGAAATACAATCACTCCTATTAACCCTAAACTAGATAGTATTCCTATAAACACATTCAGTCCTATTAACTGTAAAGTAGGTATCGCTCCTATGAGCACAATCCCTTCTGTTAACCCTAAACTAATATTACTCCTAGAAATACAATCACTCCTATTAACCCTAAACTAGATATCACTCCTGTAAATACATAGTCCTATTAACCGTAAAGTAGGTATCGCTCCTATGAGCACAATCCCTTCTGTTAACCCTAAACTAGATATCACTCCTGTAAATAAAACCACTTCTATTAACCCTAAACTAGATAGTACTCCTATAAATACATACAGTCCTATTAACCCTAAAGTAGTATCACTCCAATGAGTATAATCCATTCTGTTGATCGTAAACTATATATCGCTCTTGTAAGTACAATCACTCCTAAAAAATAATATTTATTTAGCAACAATAAGTCTGAATGGTTTACTCTATAAAAAATAGTTAAGACAAAGAAACAACATGGAAGGCAGATAAAACTCAAAGCAGTTTATAATCACAGGTTATAAAACTATCTTGTCATGAGAACGCAATCATAAACTCATCTTGTGTAAGAACAAATTGTCGAGACTCGTCTGAAACTATCTCATAAACAAACTAAAAGAGAGAGCTGAAGTTAAAAGGTTTTGAAACTAGAGGAACACTATAATACTTTTATTACTACTTACTTGCTGCTAGAATCCCAGCTAGAATGGCTATAGCAATAATTATAGTTATAAAGCCACACAGGATTATACGTTTCCAATTAGGCTTTGACTTTCTTGTGTTTTGGGCGAGGTACAGCTTTTCACCTCTACCAGAAAAAATATTTTAAAAAATTAATTAAGTTTCAGCTTGAATTACATAACAGACAAAAAAAACTATCTTCCAACAATGTAACAAAACTAAGCAGACAGACATGTGGATTGCTAGAACAACACTAGTTTTAAGTTTCGTCTATCATCCGTCTGTCAGAAAGAAAAATAAAGAAACGCTAGTTAGTTGAGTTTTCCTAAAAATTACATGAAATAACATTTTATATAAAATGCGATTTAACCGGATTCGAACCCTAGACGACTCACACGCTCTAGAAGTATTATCAAGTAAGATACTTTTTAAACACTCTGACAACTACTCTTCTCGGGGTCACGGGGTAGCCACTTTTTAAACACTCTGACAACTACTCTTCTCGGGGTCATGGGGAAGATACTTTTTAAACACCCTGACAACTACTCTTCTCGGGGTCATGGGGAAGATACTTTTTAAACACTCTGACAACTACTCTTCTCAGGGTCATGGGGAAGCCACTAGTAGGACGATAGTTTTTATTATTTTATTTAGGTAATTTTCACATGTATTAATTTTTCGATTGGGGGAATGGACCTGGACCTCTCGTACGAAGATGAGTGCTTTACCAACTTAGTTAAGGGGCTAAATCCCTAAAAATTACTAGTACGGCACTTTTTTTAACAACTCAAGCTACCACATACTGAAATGTCATTGGATAACAGAAATCGCACGTGGGATGAAAGTTAAGTCAAACATCAATCTTTCCTTTCCTAACTTTATTAGGTACACGACTAAATCTTAACATCACGATTTAATAAAACTGTAGCATATTTCAGATATCCAACAATGTAAAAATAATACATGGTTCAATCATCAGTAAACGTAGAGCTGTTGGGGAGAATTTTTATCTCGCGCTGTTGTTGAAATTATATGTTCTTGAAGCTTTGTCGGTTATATTTTGTCAGACTATCGCGTCCTTTGGTGGGACGTCGGTAAGTTTAAGAACTTACAATTCTAAAATCCGGGGACACAGAAGATAGCCCAATGTGGCTTTGCTGTAAAACAAACTCACCATAAAGAGAATTATTATCGTGTAATAATCTTTACCATCTCTAGAAAAGACCGTCTTTAAATTAAAAAGTCAGCTCGATATTATGTTAGAAGATTTTATAATTATGTATGGAGTTTTCTTAGTTAATAGATGACTTTCGCGTACTTGAAATGACGTCAGAAAAATTTATGGAAAAGCCTTAAGGGATCTCTCGCTGTAGCGTGAACAAAGTACTGTATTTCCGTATAACCCACTTTATATAGTTGCAACAATATTCGCGGTATTGTATTGCAAGAACTCTCGTACCCGGTGCGGTTCCCTAGCTACTGTAATTTTCTGTTTGTCCGGTGAGGTCGCTTCCTAACTCTTCTATATTTAAAAATTTTTTATTTCCACATTGTTATATTACTATAAACAAACAAACAAAGAAAGAATATCCAAGTAATTTTAAAATAGGATTACTGGTAAACAGGCTACATTTTAAACAGGTTTGATTTTACATCGCGAAATGCTTCACGCGGATTTGTATTCAGATTGTCAACAAAAAAAAAACAATCAAGCTTGTATCCGACTGGTCGGTTTCGAAAAGCTAGAAAATTAAAATAATGACATCACTTAACACTAGACGCAAGTATATCAAGCATTCTGAATATCTAATGAATGTCTCTCCGACGATACATGCATGCAACTTGAAAGTAATGGGAACACGACATGCGTGTGCACAAGCAATAAAAATGAAAAAAAAAAGATTTAATTTTCACTGATTACAAATATCACCAGGATATTCTTACAATTTATTTACACAATATCTTTCAACGAGAAGCTAAAATAGAAATAAGATAAATTATTACTTCGTCACACTTTTTCTTCTTCAAACTGTCGTGATAAAGTTATACTCGGTATTCTAAGCTGTATTTGGTACGTATTGTTACGTTGAAGAGCAACTATAATTAACGAATCCTCCCGTATAACAACGCGTCCCCCTCCCCCTCCCTTGGGGCAGCGATAAGTTTACGGACTTACAACGCTAAAATCCTTGGTTCGATTCCCGCAGTGGATACGGTGCAGATATCCCATTGTACAGCCTTGCATTAAGAAAACTACAACACACATGAGATTTGTAGTTTCAAAACACATAATTAATCGCGTATTTAACGAACTTATAAAAAGGAGACAATCATCACGTAAATGTGCTATTTTTGGTGTTGATTCATGGATTTTAACATAAGTTTTCCCTATGAAGAACTTAACATCAATCCCTTAATTATAGGTTAAAAGTTTGAATCACCTCTTTGCTTACGTTCCACAAATTATACATAGCACTCTGTCGGACAGTATCATAATATTTGACATTTCGATTTGCAAAAAAAAAAAAAACATACTCCCCAATGGCTCAGCGATAAGTCTGCAGGCTTACGACACTAAAATCGGGTTTATATACCCGTGGTTGGAAGAGCACGTATAGCTCATTGTCTAGCACTGTGCTTAAAAAACAACGAATCCAAGGGAACAGAGTACTATTTGTGTGGTTACAGCTTTTCACTCGGTATATCAATACTGTAACTATACAGATAATAACCTGTTTATCCGATGCCAAACAAACTTTTCAGTTGTGGTGACAGAGAGCTTCTCTAATTATTTATTTGCATTTGTAGTTGGAAACAAACTCATGTGCATTGTTTTTCTTTTCTCTTCGTATGAGATACGATTTATTTTCCCCAATTTTATGAATAGGAAACGAGCAATTCCAAATTCATAGCATTATTCGTTTTTTCTATGATTATATAATTATAACAAAATTAATTCTCTCATAAAACTATTTGTGCGGATTTCACAAAACAACAACAACAACGAAACGTCCATCTTCCAGGACTTTATTACTGTTATCACCTAGACATGATGGTGAAGAGTTTTTATTGTATTATTTTCTATATTTATATATTCTTTTTTTTTCATCCAAACATCGTTATAGTTCAGTTGTGTGTTACTAGAGGGCAGGATCATAGAAAACGTAAAAATCTATTACTATAATAATTTGGTTCACTGTCATTTAACCCAGAACTCCTTAACTTGTTGAAATGGTGGTTTCATTTTGGAAATTTTACCGTGTTAGATGTTACAACGACGACTTTATCTTTAAACCGTCAGTTTATCGTGATTATTATAAATAAATAGTCTGGATTTGGGGAGTGAACCTCGTTGCCTCTGGTCATGCGTAGACAAAGCTCATTCTTAGAAAAGTTTCTGATCTAGCAATGTTAAGTATGTCAAGAAGTAGTTTACAGAACTGGCGACGCCAGTGTTAAGTATGTTAAGAAGTAGCTTGCAGGACTGGCGACGCCAGACTGAACTTGTTTCTTCTTAGCTAAGAATTTAGTTAAAGTAAAAACACATTTAGGGTATTATCATACCTTGCCAAGAATAACGTGTTACATACATGGTACGTTACTTTATTACTGCCAAACTGTTACATACGTTGTAGGTTACCTAATTACTGCCAAATTGTTACATACGTGGTAAGTTACTTTATTACTGCCAAACTGTTACATACGTGGTAGGTTACCTAATTACTGCCAAACTGTTACATACGTGGTAAGTTACTTTATACTGCCAAACTGTTACATACGCGGTAGGTACCTAGTTATTGTCAAAATGTTACATACGTAGTAAGTTAGCTAATTACTGTCAAAATGGTACATACGTGGTAAGTTACTTTATTACTGCCAGACTGTTACAATGTTACTGTCAAGATGTTACCATTGCTGTCAAACTGTTACATATGTGTTAGGTTATTTTATTACTGTCTAAATGTTACATATGTGGTAAGTAACTTTATTACTGCCAAACTGTTGCATACGTGGTAGGTTACCTAATTACTGCCAAAATATTACACATGTGGTAAGTTACCTTATAACTCTCAAAATGTTACATACGTAATAGATTACTTTATTACTGCCAAAGTATAACACATGAGGTAAGTAACCTTACAAGTGTTACACATATGGTAAGTTACTATATTACTGCCAAAGTTTTACACACGTGCTGAGTTACCTTTTTATTGATGGTAACTGAATTATTACATCAGTTATTTCTGTTCTATTTAGATCTGGCTAGTGGTTATAATTCTGGAACTGTGAATCCAGGGGTTCCGGGTTTGCAGATCTGGCTAGTGGTTATAATTCTGGAACTGTGGATTCAGGGGTTCCGGGTTCACGATAAGTTGCTGCAAATATGCGCTACGATGTTTAGGGCTGTGGGTGTGTTATAATAGTAGAGGTCAAATCCCTCTATTCGGACAGACATGTGTACTGGAAGAGTTGGCTGTAAGTGCTGTTGGTTAGTTGTCTTTCGTTTAGCCTACGAGTTCAAACTTAGGATAGCTGTAGCAGCTGTGTCTTTGAGTGCAAAGAGATGTTTGAGGATAGTGTAGATTAATAGCAGGTGGTTCCCATTTGCCATAATGTCTCTTTCGAATTGCAACATCGTGTGAGAATACTGTAGCAACACTGTGTGAGAATACTGTAGCAACGTTGTGTGAGAATACTGTAGCAACACTGTGTGAGAATACTGTAGCAACGTTGTGTGAGAATAATGTGGTAACATCGTGTGAGAATACTGTAGCAACGTTGTGTGAGAATAATGTGGCAACATCGTGTGAGAATACTGTAGCAACGTTGTGTGAGAATACTGTAGCAACATCCTGTGAGAATACTGTAGCAACGTTGTGTGAGAATACTGTGGTAACATCGTGTGAGAATACTGTAGCAACATCGTGTGAGAATAATGTAGCAACATCGTGTGAGAATACTGTAGCAACGTTGTGTGAGAATACTGTAGCAACATCGTGTGAGAATACTGTAGCAACATTGTGTGAGAATAATGTAGCAACATTGTGTGAGAATACTGTAGCAACATCGTGTGAGAATACTGTGGTAACATCGTGTGAGAATACTGTAGCAACATCGTGTGAGAAT